GCCTTTATAGCTTTTGCATGGAATCTGATCTATATTTGTATATCTTTGCAGTAACCAGGCAGAGCCAACTGAAAGGACAGAGCCACAAATTTGACAAAAGGACATTTCAGGACACCTGATGGAAAACAGGACACAGGTTCTGGCAAAGTAAACCCTTTGTTAGCATTTTTTTTTGTGGCCACATGCAATCTTAAAACCTCTGCGGTGAAATGATCCTAACTATGCTCTGTGCTGGCCACAGCTACTGCAGTCAATGTCTCTGATGGAAAGAAACTGTAAAGATGTGTCACTCTGCTGCGTCCTCTCGCCTTGCACGTCTGTGGGAATGGAGAGTTTTTTTCCCCTTTATCAGCAGCCTCACAGACGAACATCTGGCCTGCCGGTGGGAGGAGGATAAAGGATAAAGACATCAACAGGGGCCACAAGAGGCCAAAGGGGGCCCATGTGGGGCCTTGAAGGGCCACAACAGGGCCACAGAGGAAGCTATTTTCCTTGGATTGGGAGTCAGAAGGGAACAAAGGGTGGCTAGGAGAAAAGGCTTAAGTGTACGGGTTTATCTTTGAAAGGAACCAGCGCCTGAACACAGTGCAATGAAAGGTGCAGTGGGAGTAGAAAAAAAATAAGAAAATGCACATCAGTTATAATCCCAGGTATAAAATGTTGTCTTTGCTCTCGATTTTCCCTTGTAGAGTGACCTCATGGGACCTCATTGTGCAATTACTTCTCTATGGAGATTATCTCTTCCACGTGGAAAGGAGCCATATAGTGAGAAGTGAAACTGAGTAGGAGTAGAGGTCTTTTAAGGTACTGCTTAATGTAAAACAAAAACCTAATTCCTGTGTACCTGTGTATCAAATAAATAACTAAAGTCTTTTACTGGCTGTGTTTCATTTTCATTCAATCACGGCTCCGTTTCTCACACAGATGATTTGATCTATCGATGACTCGCAGATGACTCACTGTGACCTTTCACAATAGCACTGAGGGCAAACCCAATGTGGCCCAATAGTGTGCCCCCTCAAAAGTGTCTGAAGCAAGGCCATTCCCCAGAACAGGTGACACTTACCTGTTACAAAGACTTTGCAAGTTTGTGCAAGTGACAAAGTGGGATGGTGTTTCAGGGTTGAGTGAGAGGTAAGGTGTGGCAGAAAAAATAAAAAATAAAAAAATACAAGTAATGGTGACTGCACTGCACTGACTTGCAGTTGCTTCTTTGGAAAACAACAGCATTTCCCACAAATAAAAAGGACAAAAAGCCTCCCGCGCAGGAGAAAAAGAGTATGTCTTATAGCTCATAAAAGCTTCAATCCAAATCCAATTTAAACAGTAGTGATGTTTGACACAGTTTGTGGAGGCTACAAGAGAACAGATACTGTATATATCCCAAGGGGAGGGCTTACAGAAAGGCAAACTAACCTGCCTCTCACTCTGCTTTTGACATCACACATGAGGGTGTGTAAAGAATCTCCAGTTCATTCTCACAGAGTGCTCACTGTTGGGCGTATCCATGAAGCCTTACAGTGCTTTGAAGACAATCAGTAAAGTGACCTGTGGGTAAAAAAAACTCATCTGGATGAAATGGAAGCGGCTTTAATCTGGTGAAAAAATAAAATAAAGCTTCATCCATCTAAATGGATGACAGGCTCATTCTGATTATGGTGCTTTTGTTGACATAATCCAGACCAGTTCAACATGATAGTGTGAGATAGTGAGTGTCAAGTAATCTGAAACATCTGTTGCTCCCTTGATCTATCAGCACAGCATGAGGTCAGGCTACCTCTAAAACCATGTAACCTTCCAGCGCAGACAAATACTCTGCAGAACACTCAGTGGATGATTTTAAAAATGGTTTCTGATGCCAGTAATAGTGTTTAATGGGCCACTGATGCTGCCTAAAATGCAGTATTGGGTATCGGAGAGTTCCCTAGACAACAGACCCATCTGATACAGTTATTTAGAACCCCCCCCCCCCCCCCAAAAAAAAATAATAATAATAATAACAATAACTTTCTTCAAGTAAGTTATCACACGTATCCCATGTATTTTACTCAGCACGGATACAGAAGGGAACACTTGGTACGGGTCAAAACTTAAGTTGTCGTATCAGTATTAGGGAGTATAAGATACGAAGATAACAGCTAAGTATTATCAATCCCTCCAAACTCAAGCTCTGTCTCACTTGTTCGGCATCTTGGAACATCTTTGACAGCAGACTGTGAGAACATGACTTGTGGGGGTGGAGAGCTTTCCAAATTTAAACAGCCAATTCATATCAATCTAGATTAGTTCTGGACAAATGCTTAAAGAAATATTTCCTTTGAAATGCTTGAGAAAGCCCGGGTCAAGAGGCGTACAAGGATGTGCACCATTGCATTTAGAGAAATGAAACCCTCTTTAAAAGTCTTAAATCGTCTGAGAGTCCTACAGTACCAGATCCGCTGGTTGTACATGAAAATAGAGTAGAAACTGATTAGCTTCTCCGACAAACCTTCTACATCTGGAAAGACCCAAAACAGCCTTTCAGATATGCAAGACATTTCCCTTGGATTTAACTCAAAGACATGGTTTATGTTCAGCTCAAAGTCTCAGACTTTGTTTGACCATAAATTGTTGCAGAAGTGAAAAAAGCAGATCTGTACTGAAATGTTGCAGCTACAACAACACATGAGGTTGGTCTTTTGTTGGGAAACTGCAAGATGTCATCAAGATACCACTGGACTGCAAACAGATTGATACAATACACAGGAATGAAATATTGAGATGAAGCCTACCTCCTACTCTGCAAAAAGTTGAGCAACATAGAAATGCAATTACAGAATAACCAGAAGGGGATAAACCAACCCTCCCATGATGCCCCTCTTTCATAAAACTGACACCAGCACAGTTCTGCAGTGGTTTAAACTTAACAGACGATGTTATCTACATCTTGAGATTTACTCAACATGACACAGAGGTGTGAGGAGCGAGCTAAACCACATCATCTTTTCCATATGTCTGCAGAGTAACCCTCCTGAAATCGCAGTACGGCCGATTCTCACAGTGATTCATTGCTTGGATAAGGTTGACTGAACTTCCTTCTTGCTCAGCCAGTGTCTAATGGCTATAACATTTACCATCAAATCTTTTGCCACGTATTCACAAAGAAAAGAGCAAGACGCCTGCTGTCTGGTGATTATTCACAGACTTCTTTTTGAAACTGTCCAGTCATTAACAAAGATCTGATCTCTTTGTTTGAACATAGACTTCAATCCCAGATGAATCAATCATCTATAATCGGGTTAATGAATAACAGGGATTAGATCTTCCGAGTGGTACTACCTAACTTTTACATCACCTTTCCACTTTTGGCTGCATTTTTCTGGTTATAAATCTCCAGAGTTAAACATCCCTGTTATATTGCTCTACTTCCCACATGCTGGACTGCAGATTCGTGGCAGCTGGAAGTGACAGCTCATCCAAGTTTCCATAAATCTTAGAGATAGTGCAAAAGGACCGAATGAAAACCACATGCAGGAGAAATGAGAGGTGGACAGGAAGGAGTGAGGTAGAAGGAGACAGAGGGTGAAGAAGAAAAAAAGGAGGAGGAGGAGGGGGGGCAAAGAGGCCGACCTACAACTGAAGAGATAAATCAGCCAGCGGAAAAGTAAAGTGATCTAAGAGGTTCTGTTGGCTTTATTCGAATAAACAGAACCATATGTGCATGCATGAAGGAACGCAGCAACATAAAGGGCCCTGCGCCGCCAAGCAAAAGCTTCCCCTCACACAGATCAGTGTGTGCCTCTTTATATCAGTTTTGTCACCAATGATCGGGGGTGACGGCCTCTTCTCTTTCAACTCTAAATTAGCTGTTTTGGTTAGTGAACCAGACGTACAGATCAAAAAGGTCAGACATGCCCACTTAATCCTGGTAAATCTCCCCCTTCACATCTCGCCAGCTTGTCAGCTTCTGTGTGACAGCAACCATCACAGACACATGCCTTTGCTCTGTGCGCCTCTCTGAATCCCCCCCACACTCACTCACTCACTCACTCGCTCACTCATCCACCCTGGCCGATAGCAGCAGCTGTAGCTTCCTTCCAGCACTGACATTTATTTGTCTCATGAACAGTCATTGTCAAAAGTGAAACAGTGCCATTAGTCCCCCCCCCAAAAAAAAGTCTGGGATGTAGCACTGACCACGCAGGGGGACACTTGATCTGCTCTTAGAAGAATGCTAAAAATGGCGGCTATAACGATCACTTCTGGACCTGCGAGCAGCAGGGTCACAGGGGTCTGTGTGGACATCCACATCAACAGCAACAGCTGTCTTGACCTCAGTGAAACTCACACTGAGATGGAAAACGATCAATGAAGAGATCTCTTAAGTTCATGTGTGTTACAGTGTTATTGTGTCTCAAATGTATCCTTAATCAAATACAGTTTTTGTGTTATAGATGGCTTGATATAGCCTAATGGGGGAAAAAAGGTTGAGGCAACAAGAAATAGCTAAAATAGCAGACATTTAAACTTTTGAATACAGCCTCAGTCCCTGAAAGGTCACAGTTACACACACCCTTTTGGATTTGAGTTTTATCCTAGGAACCCCATTAAGCTTCTTAATATAGCCGAGATCAAATCAGATCAGTGGTTTCCAAACTGAAAATGGGGTCCCATAGACAGTCACAGAGAGCTCCAGAAGAAAAAGAACAAGATCATCTATTATTAAGTCACTGTGCTTACCTATCATGTCTACCTAATGTTATCAAATAGACCCTTTTAAGAACCATAATGTTTTAGATTACTGGGGATCCCTCAAAGAGCTCTTATGGGCCCCCTGCCTTGTTGTTTTGGCAAACAGATTCTGCTTCAGGCTTACTTCACAGTTACACCGTAGTGTGAGACTTTCTAACAGTAGGCTATCTGCCATAGTTCTTATCATTCATGTGTCAGACTAAGTGGGCAATAACGTCCTCTTATGGCACCACAGTTCAGTAAAACCGGCACACATGACTACCTCTCACCTGCTTGAAGTCCGCCACAAAAGTGATGAGCGTCCCATCTCCTTGTTTGAACTCGAGTGATATGGAGTCTCTCTCACTGTCCGCCTCCAACACCTCATCGGTCACCAGTCCGTCCGAGAGCCGGACCCGGACCCGCAGCTCCGACCCGAATCCCACAGCGACCACCAGTACCAGGGCGCAGAGACGGGTCAGTATCCGAACTGAAGCCGCACAGATGCAACTCGCAAACATCCCCAAAGAAGCAAAACTGAACCCGAGAGAGGAAAAAATCGAGGCGAAATCCAAAGATCAGCGCTCATATCCCCTAACTGTTTTCTTGGAGTTTGCGTAAAGTCTGTTCCTCCATATTCAGAGTGTTCATGTCGTCTGCTGTGTGCCAGCACTTTACAGATTTACGAGCACGTTTACAGAACGATACAACAGTCTCCCTAGGCTAAAATCTGAGCTTTTGACTCCGCTGGGAGCTTCAGTAGTTCACTTCCATTGAAAGTCTCTCGCTCCGGCGTTGTTGATTAGCTCATGCGCATTTCAGTTTCCCCTCCACATATTCTCCGAAGTTCCCACGTCGCTTCTCGTTCTGCGCTTGGTTGATATTCCTCTACTTCTGCCTTCCCTTCCTCATTTAATTCATGCACTTCCTATCCGTCCGTATTCCACCAGATCTCGCCTGGACTCCAAACTTTCTGTTGTGACTGAGTGTGTGCGCCTGAGTGAGTGAGTGCAGAGATGGTAGTAAACTCTTAAAGCCATACCACCCTCTGAAAAGCCTGCCCATCCCCCTTTAAAGGCCTCATGTGATTCTCCTGCACTCCAGCAAGCTGCCTGAACTAATAATACCCCACAACAATTATGACGAAGGTGTTGTGGGGATTTGCAAATGATAGTTTTAGGTGAGTTGTTCGTAGCATGTAAGGATAAATAAAAGGCTGGTGTGCAAACTGTAACCTGCAGCTGGTTGTAATAGAAAAAGTAGTAGGCCTGGAGGAAGAAAAAAAAATCTTACTGATGATATTTTCCTAAGTTTACAACCCTTTTTAAATCGAATTTTTTTTTTTAAATCCAGTTAATATAAATTAGGTGTTGGGCTGTGAAATGTAATCTTCATTTGCGTTCATTTGCGCATAAATCCTTTTTTTTATTGCTTGTTTGTTTAGCTGAGTCTGTGAAATTTAGACTTAAACTGTGAAAATCAGCGCAGCATGTCTACCCTAAAGCCAAATGAGCAAAACAAAGGATTGTCTATTTTTCCCTGCATTTGTCATTTGTTACTCTTATTGGCTTATAACCAGTTCTGAGAAGAAAATCCAAAAGTTTCACTCAAAAGCTTTGGTTTTAAAGTTGTTAATCTACGGCATTTAAGCTCTCTGTCACATTTTTTCTTATGAATACAGGTGTGCTACCTTCTGAAATAAATCTGTCAGTTAATTGTTACCTTTGATGACAGCATACAGTTGATTAACAGGTTACAACTCGAAGAACAAGAACACAATAGCTTCTTTATTCTCCTGGCATCAGTTATTTAGTTTTATGATGCCCATGATAAACAGCCTGACAAACTTTGGAAAGACAAAAGCTGCCAATCAGAGGGAAGATCTGTAAATGGTAAATTATCACTTTGTGTGTGTGTGTGTGTGTGTGTGTGTGTGTGTGTGTGTGTGTTTCAAGAGGGAGGGCAACATCCCTGCAGTAAACCACCTAAGGAGTTGTGTTGTTATCTCTGTAAGCTGACGCACTGCATTCTGGGTGGGTGGGCTACAAGTGACCCCAAATGTGGCAGGACTTCTTGAGTGCTGCTGAGACTGAGAGGTGGTCGCTCCAGTGAAGGGGAAAACAAACAGAGGGGCTGTAAAGCAGAGTAAACATTGTTTTGTGGGGTCTGGCAAACCAAACTGGGTCCTGCTGCACCCTGATAGACTGGAGGAATGGAGGTCAGGCAAACAGCCTCCCCCCCCCCTTTGTGATGGAGTTTAGTCCTCAAGTACTCTGAGGCTACATCTTAGTTAGAGCGCTTAAAGAGCTGCAGCTGGTGATGAGATGGGATTCTCCAAAGTCCACCTGATATAAAACCTTCCACACTGTCTGCAAACATGTAAAGCTTACTCCTTGCTTCATTCCTACAATTTTAAGCAACAACAATTTAGAGGCTTAGTTCAAAATCATGTGCTCAATTGTTGCACTGGCACTGACACAAACACACACACACACACACACACACACACACACACACACACACACACACACACACACACACACACACACTACACACACACACAGCAGTCCAAAGTGCAGTAGCTCCACGAGTTTGCCCGCCGTGACTCAGTCAGACAGTAAAGAAAGACACAAGCTACAGTGTACAGAGGGTGTTTATGATTAACTAGCTATTGTGCTGTTCTGCAGTGATATCTGACACAAAGAGCAGTCTATGGTTAGCAATGCCACTATACCTCAAATCACTGGTCTTTTATAAACCAGTGAGCAAGAGAGGGGGGAAATCTGTATTTTGAAGGAAAAGACAATATTTTGACACCTTTTATTAGGCTACGCGTCATAAAGGTATATTGGCAACATACTAGCAACATATTTCATCATCTTTCACTTGATGTCATTTTGTACTGCCTTAATCCTAATGTTACAATGCTTTCATTAACTTAATTGACATAAATATTCCTTCAGATATGCATGGAAAGTGTTTACGCTCTTTCTAAACCTTATGAAAAAGACACCCAGGTCTTGCCAGGTCTGCCTCCTGCATGTGTTTGCTTTTCACTCGAACGACACAGCTGCAGAAGTCTCCTTATCGACACACTTGTAATCTGGAAGACTGATGCATTGACTCCAAACAAAAACAATGATATGACACTGTAGATAGTAGAGTTACATTTCTTTATATCTGTTTAATTTTTGAACATGTTCCATTGGAGTTTTTTAAAGCAATCAATACGATCCATGATTACAGATGAATAAAAAGTAAGGCCTACTTCTAATCATTAAAAAGTCAAATTACGTATTTAAAGCAGCATAACATTTGACGCAAATTTTTAGGTCATACCACCAAGATAAATGTTGTTTAAAAAGCGCTGTTGCTGCCAACCCTCAACATGTGCACTTCAACTTTTACTGTTAGAAATGTGAAGTATTTGAACCCTTTCATGAGTCAAAATCATGCTTATTTGTGAGGCGTTCAGCTTTGACTATACAGCACAGCTTGCTCATGCTGCATTCCAGTCATGTGTGTGTTTATGTGTGTGTTTATGTGTGTGCATGTGTGAGGACTTGCACAAGGTTGGCTTAAAACTGTTACATTTGCATGGGATTTGTGCCACCCAGATTGAGCTTTTCACCAAAACAGCAATTTTCTGCTACTGAACAGAACAAATAACCGGACTCCTCTGTATCTCATCATCAGGTTTGTCTTGTTTTAATAAAAAGCAGTGTTGGATTAAGAGGATATTTCCAAACTGGGACATGTTGCTTTCATAGAAGGGATTGAAAACTCCAGATACAGAAAAACAATATTTGCATTGTGGGCTGATCGCCATCACATGCTGCCTAGCTTTAATACTACTAATACTCTCTGAAGAGATGTAATATTTTTGCCCATAATGGTTTGCTTGAACAAAGTAGTCAGAAGTGATCACAAAGCCTCCAAAACTAACAAACTGGCGATGTTTCACCGCTATAGGGCTGCAGAATGAGGACAGGAAGTGGGGAAGAGTCAAGCACTGTGGTTGATCGAGTTGATCCCTCTTCCAGACATATGCCAGGAGTGTTTGTGTGTGTAATGTGTGTATGCTTTTTGAGAACGTGTGCAGTATTTACACATGAATTTTAGGAGCCAGAGTCAAGCAGCTTTCCAGTCCTCTGATGATATATTCATATCTTCGCTCCCACGTCTTTTCTTCCCTCTAACTGGTCTGGTGGGGCAGCAGCAGCGTCTCTGGGTTAGCTCCCTGCTGTAGGCTGAGCGAGGAGAGGAGATATCCCCTTACACATGTGGGGCTCTGGGGCCACAGTAACCCTTTGGAGCACAGGCTCTCCTGGAGGAAAAGAGAATAGTTGGATGATAGTGAGGAGAATAGGAACCGGAAGATACTATAGAGGCAACAGAAGTTTACGTACAGAAAAAGCCTGCATACTTAAGAATTGAAACATATTATAACAGCAATAGAAATACAAAAATCATAGTGATAAATGATGAAAGTCAATCAAAAATAGCAAAAAGGAATACTCACAAATAATTCAATTACAAAAAAAAAAGTACTTAACTGAAATGACAGAAGAAAATTGGAGACTGACAGTAGTGGACTGAAACCAAAAGCATTTGTTAGCCTAAGTAATATCCTTAAGTAATATTTTCGAGGTTATTGTGCTTTTATTTGTGTTTTTATTTTGGTATTCTCAATTCATTTCCAAGGGTTGTTTTATATAGTAGCACACATGAATGCCATTCATAGCAACAGCCAACCAGTGCAACATTACTTTTGTCATAGCAGTAGGGAGTGCCTAAACCTGCATTCTCTGAATGGCCACCAGGTGGAGACTCCACTTGTTGCTTACAATAAAATCAGATAATTAATGAATCAGTAATACAGATGAGAAAAATAACCTCATGACCTCGGTAAACATTTTCCTACTGAGTTTCTGATTTATGGGCAATTTCCAAACCCTCTTCAATACAGCTTATTTGAGTTAAATTGAATATAAGCAGGATATTCTTCCGGAACATGCATTTTTAACAAGTTGCACCAATAGACAATAGTCACACATCGCTTTTTCCATTGACGTCACGCTCAGGTTAGGAAGTATCTGCAGTCTCTGAGAAAATGGCTAACAAGACATTCTGGTCTTATCTAGTGGGTTATCAAATATTCAAGCATTAAATATGGCCTGACATCTCTCCAGATTTCAGAATCCATTGACTTTGTGGCTGCTTATCAATCAGGAAATGGTAAAATTACAACAATTTGTCAGAAATATAACTTTTTTAATGACTTACAACCTGGAACTAAGAAGATGGACACAATAACACCATTTTACCTTCACGCCCTGGAAAATGGACATGTGAATTTGGTCTATGGCGATCTAACAGTATGGATTGAGGTAGAGCAATGGGTATCCACTATCTTGTTAAAAAATGTGACTACTGGCTCCACAATGCTGAAGAAGAGGCTTCAAAAAGATTTTGTCGCCAACACCTGTTTACATAATGTGAACTACTAACTTGTTTTGACCTACTTTTGTTAGTGTTATATTTACATTTTTTGTAATGTTCTGCTTTTGCTATAATAATAGCTCTAAATCATTCATCTACCACTGTAGACTGGACACATGTCAGGTCCTGTTCAAGCATCTTGGAATAAAAAAAGTAAATTGTGTTGTTGACCCTTTATACCGAGGATTAAAGTGAAAAGCAGAAATTTTGCCTGGAACTTGTTTCTCTGTGTGATGATCTTGGTTACATAATCTCAAGTAAACACAAATGTTTGAATGCTATTTTCAAATTATTTAGTATTACTCACTGCCTGAGTGGTATCCAGATGTTCTCATGTCATCACTAGCAGGGGCACAGTTCAAAGGAAAAACATGGTGAAATAACAGAGCAAGGTTCGTTTAACCCCTGCCTTTCCAAGGAAAGCATCATTCCCCCCCCCCCCCCCCCCCCCACACACACACACACACACACACGGTTCCCCATCGACACAATTACTTACATTACAAAAGAATTCCTTGGAAATT